TATCACATATCATATGATTACTTGTACGTAAACACGTATATATTCGAATCTGCGTACGTCTACTCATTTTAAAAAAAGGAAACCATATGGGCAATAGGAAGACACTCGTAATGATATCCGTAAGGGCTTCGCCCCCTGCCGCCGGCCCCCTCTTTCGGATAATGGGCCATGGAAGAGCGAAGTCATGAGGCTTTGGCTTTGCCGTGAAGCAGTGTCGGGACCTATTTGTTTTTCGACCCTGACACTGCCGATCTGCGTGAGGGGTGCCGCCGGATTTCGCACATGTGGCCCATCCCCTTTTTTTTTGACCCTGACCTACGGATCTGCGTGATGGTGCCACCGAATTTCAGTCATGTTTCAAATCCCATATGTTTTTGGACCCTGACCCCGCCGATCTGCGTGAGGGGTGCCACCGAATTTCAGAAATGTGGCAAATCTTGTATGTTTTTTGACCCTGACCCCGCCGATCTACGTGAGGGGTGCTACCGGATTTTAGAAATGCGGCAAATCCCGAGTGTTGGACCCTGACCCCGCCGAGCTGCGTGAGGGGCGCCACCGAATTTCAGAGATGTAGCAGATCTCATGTGTTTTTGGACCCTGACCCGCCGATCTGCGTGAGGGGTGCCACCGAATTTCAGAAATAAGGCAATTCTCTTTGTGTTTTTGGACCCTGACCCCGCCGATCTGCGTGAGGGGTGGCACCGAATTTCAGAAATGTGGCAATTCTCCTTGTGTTTTTGGACCCTGACCCCGCCGATTTGCTTGAAGGGTGTCAATTTTTACCCCCCCAGGAATTCTGAGAACCCTCCCGGGGGACGCTAACCAGGCTGGTTTTCTGCTCCCCCCCTCGCGCGGACAGTAACAATGTACAGTAGGAAGCAGAAAGCAGTACTGTAACAATGGAAACTGGAAACCGGAACTGGTGCAGGGAGCAGCAAGCTTAAGCCTCGCAGCCTGATGGCCCCGCATGGGGGCCGGCGGATATGTTCATGTGTATATACCAAGATAAAACGCAAAGAGAGAGAGAGGGAGATAGAGAGAGAGTGAGATATAATGATAGTGAGGGTGACAGTGGGGGCGATTAAGTTGGAAATCGCGCTATCGCTCGAGACGTCCTCGCGATCCATGCAGGGCGCACGCTTCAACAACCCGCCTGCTCGAGATGGCCGCCTGGGCCCGCCTTCCCGCCCGATCTGCCCGTCTGGTTCTGCCAGGTGTTTTCCGTTCCTACCCCTCCTCCTGCTTCTCTCTCTCTCTCTCTCTCGTGCTCCATCCTTCTCCCTCCCCCTTGTCCCTTCCTTACCTCCGTCCTCTCTTCCCTTGTTTTAGGGGGTGCTCCACATGCACGTGGCAGGTGGCAGATTAAGAAATACCTCCACGGGGGTACGATCGAATATGCAAAGAGCAGGTTTCGAGGGCCTGGGAGATACGTTTTGGAGCACACGCGAGCAGATAAGAGCGAATTGGCTTAAAACTATTGTTGTTTTGGGATTTGTTTTTCAAGGACAAGTATTGTCTACCCTTCACCTCCAGTGCCCATTTTATTTTTCAACTGACATGTGCTTCCCAGGGCTCGCACCTGTTTTTTGTGCAAGGGAAGTCTTGAGGCGCAGACTAGGCTGTTGGCCCCCAGTTTAAATAACAGCGGCTCCCGCCAGGAATTTTCCTCACAGTGTGTTGGGATATATGGCTTTCGCTAGAGGGTTCTTCACAATGTATCAAGGAAGATCGCTTTCGCTTGAGACCTCGTTACAATTTACGCTCGAATCGCTTTCTCGACGTTTTTGGATCTCGCTCTCGTCCGGGACGGTCTCAGAATGCATCCAGATTCCTTGACATTCCCTGTTGCTAGTCTCTTTGGCTAATCCCCATCGTCCTCCATCATCTCCCTTCCTCCCTCTTGCCCCCTTGCTTCCTCCATCCCTTCCTTGACTCCATCCATGTTTCATGGGGTGCGCCACTTCCCCACCAGTGTACACGTGGCAGGCAAGGAAGATCCTCCTCGAAGGGCGTACAATCAAAGACGAAGAGGGCGGGTATCGAGGGTTCGGGAGATACACGTTGAATGACACGCGAGCTCATGGGAGCGAACAGTCTTCAAGTGATTGTTGTTGTTGTTGCTGATGCTGTTGATGTTGATGTTGCTGTTGCTGCTGCTGCTGCTGCTGCTGCTGCTGCTGCTGTTGTTGTTGTTGAACATTATTCCTTCTAAAGAATTATTATTGTTGGGACCCCTGGTGCGCGACCTCTGCGCCGCGCCTAGGCCGCAGCTACATTTTCATCATTTTTTCGCGAAAGCTTCAGAAAAGTGGATGAGCTCCGGATCCGGTTTTTTGTTGACGCTCGTTTTCCCTTGCAAAAAACAATAGAAAATGAAAATTCTTGTTTTTACTTGATCAAATTGCAAGAATCCCTTGCAAAAAATAAGGTAAAGTGGACATTCGTGCGCGCAAGACGAAATCCTTCCAAAACCTTAGGTTTCGTAGCGATTTTAACATAAAAACATCAAAAACCCAATGGTTTTCTCAGAAAAAATTGTCAAAATGTCCTTCCGCGCGCTCTTGCGGATTCCTAGGAAACCCACCAGATTTTAAACATTTCTGTTAAAAGGGCCTTTGCGAGGAACCTTTTCAGGTGCTTCGACCTTCTGCAACAACGGTTGCGAGCCTACGAGGGCCACCATCCCTTGCAAAAAATGACACGAAGTGCACATGCGCGCGGCCGCCGCGCGCGCGTGCCGAAATCCTGCCAAACATAATGTGATTTCAATAATTTCAAGATGCGATGTTCCGAAAACATATGCAAACGCAAGACTTTCTCATCCGAAAAATATCAAAATCCACCCGCGGGCTCTTCATGAATCTTTAAAACCCAAGATGGCCCCAAGAGGCGCTCAAGATGGCCCCAAGAGGCGCCCATGAGGCCGCAAGAGGCGCCCAAGATGGTCCCAAGAGGCCCCAAGAGGACTCCAAGAGGCCCCCAAGAGGTTCCAAAGAGGCTCCAAGTTGGCTCCAAGAGGCCCCCAAGATGGCCCCAGGAGGCGTCCAAGCGGCTCCAAGAGTCCTCCGGGAGGATCCAATAAGCCCCCAAGAGGCCCCAACATGCTTTCAAGAAGCCCCCCAAAGCCTCTCAAGAGGACCCCATGCGGCGCCAGGAGGCTTCCCCCCTTCCCCAAGAGGACCCCCAGCGGCCCCAGGAGGCTTCCCCCCTTCCTCTCACGCTCATATCCGTAGCCATCTCGGATCAAGGTATCGCCTGTGTTCTTGGATCATGGCTTTGACGGCGAAAGACCTTCACGAGCAGTATGGCGCAGAGCTGTCCCGGCCTCCCTTGGCCGACTGCGAGAGTGCGTATTATTTGCATCAGGCGCTCGCGGCAAAGGGTATCAATGCCAGTCACCAGGCGTGCAAGACTTGGTGGGCCAAGTATCGGGTTGTGACTGGCAAGGTCAGTATTTCTAGCGCCAAGGAGCTGGAGGAGCAGCACGGGTCTGCCATCCGCCACCTGGGCATCGAGTATAATACCGCTTACAAATTATGCCGGGCGCTCCGACAGTTGGATCCACCACTGTATGTGCCAGATAGGGTCGCAACGGCGTGGCTACTGCAGTATTCATCGAAAGACACGCTTGTCCAAGTGCAGAACGCTGGCCATCTGGAGAGCTGGTATTCTCTCCCTCCGTCTGGCTGTGCACGCGCGCGTTGGGCAGTGAGAGTTAGGATCACAGCGCCACCAGTGTATGAGCAATGCATGCGTCATCCTTGGGACTGTATAACAGCAGAAACAGACAACATTGCATCGCAGCGGGACAGCCATCGGGACAACCATCGGGACAACCATCGGGACAACCATTTGGACAAGCATCGGGATAACGATCGGGACAACCATAACCATCAGGACAACCATCGGGGCAACCATCGAGACAACCATCGGGACAACGATACCTTCTCTCTTGTGTCCTCCCACATCCCTCAGGAAGTTGCCCTAAAGATGTGACCGACTCCTCTCTCTCCTTCTCTCTGTCTCTCGCTCTTTCTCTGCTTCATATCTATCATACGTAACACATCTACTTGTGTAATCGCCTTCCCAGGAATTTGCCTCAAAAATGTGACCAACTATCTTGGCACTGCGTACCATCTCACGTGTACCGTGTACCACATCTTCTCAGGTTGCCTCACACATGTGACGAATCTCTTTCTATCTCTCTCTCCACTGGCTCTCTGTCTTGCTCTCTCTCTCTCTCTCTCTCTCTCTCTGTCTCTCTGTACTATGTATGTCATACGCAACAAATGCACCATGCGGGGCACATGCGGGGCCCAAACAAGTGATCAACCTCTGCGGGTGTGTACTCCACGCCAGTGTAGTATCCACGATCGTCCGCGCGCCACGAAGTGAAGTGTCCTGACGTCATAGGGCGGGAAGCTGGGTGTGGGTGGTTCCCGAGAGTCGTGTGGATGTTTGGTAGAGCTTGCATTGCCCCCCCACGAAGTGGGGGTATTGGCTGGCGTCGCATGAAAACCCTGGCACTGGGGAGAACACTGAGCGTTCGGGTAAAATGATTGTTGTTGTTGTTGTTGTTGTTGTTGTTGTTGTTGTTGTGGTGGGCCCCAGGGGCCCGGATCACGGCACCCAGACTCCTGCGTCCTTTGGCCTTCCCGCCGTCTCCGGTCCTCGCCGTGCCGCCCTGCCGGCGCGGAACGGGGGAGGCGCGAGGGGGGCGGCCGTTTCAGACGACGTGGAGTTTCTTAGAAAGTTGGGGGCCTTCATAGAATCTCTCCCGGCCTCCAAGAAGGCTTCTAAGAAGCCCTCGCGCTGCCCCCTGGTGCGACGCGACCCGACCGTCTCCTCCTCCTCCTCCTCCTCCTTGACACTCCTCCTCTCCGTCCTCGTTGACCCTCCTCCTCGTTCTCCTTGAGCCTTCTCCTCCTCCTCGCTTCGATCCTCGTCCTTGGCCCTTCTCCTCCTCGATTCTCCTCGCTGCCTCCCATCCCCCCCGCAAGGAGTACGATGTGTTGCTCGACGCCGGCGTCGGCACCAGCTTCTGGGACAACCGCGGCGACAGGGACGCATGCAAGGCGGTAGCCTGCCTCTGGGGGGGGGAGGATCGATGATGAGGAGGAGGCTAGACGCGACCCTGAAAGGTCATGCAGATACATTCAAATAACCCCAGGACCCACCCCAGCCCCTGACCCTAGCGCCCCCACGCCAAAGCGAGGAGGAGCCAGCGATCAGGGGTCGAACAGGTCATCGGGTTGAGAGGCCACACGGCCCCGCCGAGGGGTCGCCAGGGCCCTCGTCCTGGCCTCAAGAGCTTTCGACCCCAAGAGATGGGTACGATGGCCAACAACAAATAATGTCCTAACCCGACTGCGGCCGCTGTTGCGCAGGCGACTTTGTGTCTTCAGTGGACAACGTCCGCGGCGGCACCGAAATGTTGCCCGTCTTTGCTCAAAACGAACAGGAAGTGATGTCCGTCTTTTAACCCACCCTGTCCGTACCCATTTCGATCGTCCCAAATTCCAGTTAAGAGTTTGCGGGTCAGGATGGTTCGGAGGTTCCTCCTCCTCCTCCTCCTCCTCCTCCTCCTCCTCCTCCTCCTCCTCCTCCTCCTCCTCCTCCTCCTCCTCCTCAGCAACACCAGGCAGCCCCCCCTGCTGCCGCGGCGGTTGCCGCCACCACCGCCGCCGCAGGCGGGCCCGCCAGCGGTTCTAGCGGGCGCGCCGTGCAGGCAGCCAAGCTTGGGGCTGCGGCAACCGAGGCAGCCCGCCAGCGGGCCACAGAGCAGAAGGTGGCCAGCGCACCTGCTGCGCCTGCTGCTGGTGACGGGGCTGCTGGTCAGTTCGCAGAGTAGCGCCCCCCCCTGGCGGAGGGGAGGCGGGCAGCCCTCCTGGTCCGCTGTTTGAGCACGTGGCGAGGGAACCGAGGCCGCTCGGACAACAGCCTCCCCCCACGTGGCCCCTGCCTGTGCGGCCCCCGACGGGAAGGTGGTCGATGCCCGCCAGATACGGAGGCAGCGTCGACCAGGAGGCCCGACGCCCAGCTGGGACAGACCCCGCGGCCACAGAAGTGCAGAGCCTGGCCCTTCACACAAGACGCTCGCCTGTCGCTGCAGGCGTGGCAGCCATCGGCCTCGAGCAGTGCCTGCCCCACCTGGAGCCCCTGGCGCTGCAGCAGGGTTCGTTGGATGGTGACCTCCGCGTCTGACCTACAACGGTAACACTTGCACCTCGATCGCTAGCATCCATGAGTGGATGCGCAGGGAAAATATCGAGCCGAACGTCGCATTTGTCCAGGAGACGCGGTTTTCCACCCAGACCGCCGAGGAGCAAACCCACGGATGGGCCAACCGATGCGGCCTCCAGCTGGCATGCTCAGCAGTGTTCAGAAATGGAGAGGCGGCCACGGCGGCCTCGGCTTGCGTTGGCATCGTCACCTCGAAGCTGCTGGGCTCGGCGAGATACGTCCAGCCCTGGGATGGCCAGCAGCACAGGTTCCTCGCCCGCAGGATCGCTTTGGGCAAGGGCACCACCATTGCCATGATCTCGGTCTACTCGAGGACTCCGTGGGCTTGCAGGGGTCCAACCGCCAGCTGCCCGCCGACCTCCACGAGTGGTGCGCGCTTCTGAACGACCCCTTCGTGATAGGCGGCGACTGGAACATCGAGGCCCCGGAGCTCTTGGACTCTGGGGGCCAGCCCTTATCGGAGGGGCTGTGCTGGGCCCAGGAGCAGCTACATGCAATGGCAACGAGTATAGTTACTTTGTCATCTCGACGGCGTTGAAAACCATGGTGGGGTCCATCACGGCCCATGCCGACACGCCGAACGGTCCCCATCAGGTGGTTTCCCTGGTTCTGCATTGTTGCTGGCAGCGGCCCATGGTGCAGACCCAGAGGGTGCCTCAGGCCTTCGAATCGGAGTACGTGGCCGATGACATGGCCAGAGGCAAGGGGGGCCAGTTGGTCGAGTCGCCGGCACGGCCTCCATCCGACACCTGAGCCTGATGGCCCCATCAAAGAGCGGTTCACGCAAGCGGAGCTGGCGTTGCAGGCGCTCCGGGGCATGCCTGAGGACGAGGCCCGCTACTTCCAGGGCAGGGCCACGGGCATCAGGGCGATCGCGGTCCTGCTTGAGGCCAAGGTGCATGCATGCAGACTAGACAAGGCCTCGCCTATCACCCAGTGCTGGCCCCCCCTCCGCCACCTAGCCAAGCGCAGGTGGGGGCTGGGCCCGGGCGGCTCGGCAGACGACTACAAGTCCCGACGGGGGCGACAGCTGCGAGAAGTGGCGCTCCACCTTCGCAGTGGGTTTCAGGACCCGGGCATAACTATGTTCGACGGCTCCAGCCTCGACAGCTTCCGGGAAGAAGTCGGCCTGCAGACGGTCATGGGCTACGACATCATGGCTATGATCGAGCAGATTGTGGTCAAACGTACCAAAAAGGACTCCCAGGCCAGCAAGTTGAAGTGCGACGAGTTCACCGAGCTGGCCTTCGAACGGCAGAGGCACATCGCCCGCGAGGTCTCGAGGGAGACCCATGCCGAGCCATTGCCCATCCTTGGGAAGGGCTCCGCCGACGCAGCCCTCGTCGGACAGCCTGCGCTAGAGAGGGTCCACGAGGACTGACCCCCTCCTTGGGTGGGGCCAGTGCGGGCGAATCAGGGGCGCCCCGTGGCTTGGGAGACCGGGGACTGGACGCTCAAGCCCATCGCGATCGACGATATCAAGCTGGTGGCCCGCGAGTTTCCCAAAACCACGGGCCCGGGGTGGGGCAACTTCCATCCTCGGCTGCTGCTAGAAGTCGGTGACGATATCCTGTTCAGGCTTGCCAGCTTGCTCAATTCGCGGGGGCGCAGCCCGCGGTGCGGCGAGCTCTGGGCCAGCATCATGGTTCCCATTCCAAAGCCTGACGGCGGCCAGCGGCCCATCGGGCCCATGCCGATGCCAGCCAGGATCTGGCCCCGCACGCGACAGAGGGAACGTGCAGAGCGGGGGCGGCCCATCGACCAGCGGGCCTTCTTGGGCAACTCCTCATCTCGAGGGCGCGACAAGGCAGCCTGGCTCCACGACAGTTTCGTGGCCCACGCGAAGTCCTCCCTCGAGGGCGCTGGGTCCTGCTACGCCGGCTTATCCAAGCACTGCGAGCACGCCGGGCGCTTCGAGCTCAAGGTAGCGGCGCAGGCGTGGGATTTCGACCTGGGGCTGCTGCGGGCGCCGCGCTGCACCGATCGGGCCCCGTCGGAGGGTCCGCGTCGGCACCTGCCTCGTGGCGCCGTCAATGCGAACGGCGCGATGGTGGCAGGCTGCTCGTGCGCCGCGGCATTGGCCAAGCTCCTCTTAATTTCGGCCCGCAGGGCAGCGGCCTCGGCGGCCCCCATCGCCAGGGTCCTCAACGTGGTCGACGATGTCTCGTGCCATGCGACTGGGCCTTGCACCATGGTAGCCCAGCAGCTGGCCGCTGCCGATCGCGCCTTCTGCGCGAAGATGAAGGGGGCCAACCTGCCGCCCAGCAGGAACAAGGCCAAGGCGCTGGCAACCAGCAGCAAGCTACGCGACGCCCTCAGGAGCCAGCCTGGCTGGGACCTCGCGGAGGGCGATTTCGTGGGCGCGCCGCGTGCACAGGGACCTGGGCGGCGACGCCGTGTCGGGCCCCTGCAGACGCGCAGCGAAAGCCTCTTGGGGCTCGGCGATCATGGGGGTGCCCGACGGCCGCCTCCATCGGCTGCGCGTCGGGGCCATCGAGGCGAGGGGCAGACTGGCCCGCGGGGCCGCCCTGGGGCTCGCCAGCCTTGGCCAGTCAGGCGGCTGGAAGCGGGATCCCCTGACGATCGTCACCAAGACGGCGCCGATGCCCACGCCCGAGCGGGTCGGCTGGGGATTCATCAACGGCGACCCCCATAAGCTCCATGACGCGTTGGGTCACGAAAACCAAGTACGTCGCTACCCGCCAGCGCGTTTCGGCCACATGGTCCCCCAGGACTGCTGGCGAGCCATCGGGCTTGAGGAGGTGAAGCGGCATGGCGCCAGCATGCGGGGCTGGGAGACCCCGCCCTTCTGGCGGCCGATCCTCGACCCGGTCAGCCACCGCTCTGAGGTGTGGGGCCTGCGCCACCAGAGGGCGCTGCGCTGCCTCATCCAGAACACCTACTGGTGCCAGGCCAAGGTCGGAGCGGAGGGCCCCTCCGTCCCGAAGAGCTGCCAGCTCTGCGACCACCCAGTCGGCCCCCTCTTCCACAGGCGGTTCAGGTGCGAGGCTCACGATGGCTGGAGGCGCGACTTTCTGGAGCCGCTGCTGCGGGGCACGGCTGCGCGAGTCGAGCTCTTGGGCGACCCTTTCACGGAGCTGTTCGCTAGGAGGTTGTTCCCCGCCTCCTCCGAGCTGGTCCAGAGAAGGCCCCGTCCCGACGACTTCTGCAAGCACGCGACCAGCTGGCCGAGCTTTGGGCCCTTCGCCGACGGGGGGCGCGTCTTCGTGGACGACTCAGAGCTCGATCAGAGCTGCCCGAGCCTGAGGGCGGCTGGCTGGCCCATCATCGCCTTTGACAAGCACCGCAGGCTGGTCGCTGAGGCGCGGGGCTCGGCCCTGCTGTCGGAAGGGCCCGAGCAGCTGGCCAGAGACGGAGAGGACTGCGCGGTGAAGGTACTCACCGACACCATTGCTGGGGGCCCCATTCAAGCCCCCACCTCTGGGCTGGGCGGAGAGGCTCAAGGACGCGGGGGTCATCAAAGTCAGGGCCCACCTGGGACAGCAGGCAGTCAGGGACGGGCTGACCACGCTGTTCGAGCTGGATGGCAACGCCTTGGCCGACGCCCGAGCTAAAGAAGGTGCCTCTGCGGTCCGAGCGGATTGCAGCGACGTCTACTGCGTCGAGGGCTGCCTTTTCATCGCCCGCCGCGCGGCGAGGCACGCGGCAGCGCAGGAGGTGCACGTCGCAGTGTCGGGCCTCCGCGACTCCATGGGGGTCGAGGCCCTGGAGATCATTGACCCGGGCGAGTGGCCCGTCGACCCTGCCGATGCCTGTGGGGAGTATACGGCCCCATCGGCTAGCGCGGACCCATTATTCACAGGGGGGAATCCGCTGCCTGGCCTAGACGGCTCGCCGCGGCCGCGGCGCGCGTGCGGGCGCTCCTTGCTCGCAGCGCCTTTCCTCCCTGGGGCGGGTGAAAATTCGGCCCTGCTGTTCTGCGCAGCTTGTAGAGGTATGCTTCGGACAGGAAAGGACGAGGCCTCCGGGGCTACTTTCCAGGGTGCCCGATTCCGGGTAGTAAGAATAATGGTAAAATCGCCCTGGGCAGGCATCCTCAAGGGGGTGCGAAGAAAAGGCTCGGTGAGCTCAGGTCTCCCCCGATGGCCGAGATTTCGTTCTGGTCCGAGTACTTCTCCCATGCGCGCTCTGAAGTGATCCAGGTAGGGGCCCCGTCGGAGGGCCCGAAGAGGCTTTCGATTCTGGAGGCGATCCCGCTTTTCGGGCCCCAGCTGGCACAGGCGCTGCCGAGCCATCCTGATCCCCAGCCCATGATTTGAATGCAGGTTTGGGCCGGGAGCGCCCGCGCCACGCGCGCTAAGCGAGCCGCGCCCAGAGATGCGTACACGCGCGCGCGTTCCACCGAGTATCTTGTAGAGCGCGCGCGCGGGCCTATCCAAGGAGTTTCAGGGTCTATTTGGGGCCTGGCACTGCAGTGCTGCAAAGCTGTGCAGAAACTAAATCGGGCCGTAGTCCTTCACCCTCACTGAAATCGGCCGCCTGCTGCTGCTACCCCCTCTCCGTGTGCGCCGCGTGGAGGCCGTGGCGGAGGGTCGGAGCGGGGATGCCGGCCGTTCGGCCCGTCTGCTCTCTCAAGCATTCCGGTCTTGCTCCGACTGGCCACCGCCATGATCATCAGTGCGAGTTTCTCTGGGGATGCAGGGCTAGCCCGACGGTGCAGGCGTTGCCGTCGCAGGCCGTGTCGGCGTCATGCTCCGTGTCCGGGTCCGCGGACTGAGGCGCTGATGTGATCTTCGACGGGGCACCCCCGACGGACGTTCACCTACCCGATTGAGTCTCCCACGTGCAAGCCCCCCCCCAGCATATGTGGCTGCTGCGCCTGTCAGGCGCCATGGGTGCTGACGCAGGAAGAATGCGAGTGCGAAGGAGTTGCGTGAGTCATGGTTTGGAGACCAGGGATGTGTCAGCCCCGCGGGTATACCAAAACATATTCCGGAGAGTTGCTTATCACGCTCATTTTTTGTTAATCGCGTTGGGAGGTCATGTCTTTGCTAGAATCACGCTGGGAGGGCATGCCCCACTGCCACTTCTCACGCAATTTGCTTGCATGCTCGACGTGGCCGGCAGTTCCATTGGTTCCTCACTGGCTGGCACAAAGAAATCAACATGTGGCTACCTATCCACGTGTCGCGAGGCTCTGGAATAATAGGACCTCACACCCTGTGGTTGGCCAGTCGCAGTGAGCGCGGGCCCGCCGTGCCACCCCTGAGAGGCCCCATGGGGTTACTCGAAGGGGCCCCCGACGTGGGGGGCGCGGGAACTTCAGTCCTTGGGCACGGGGGTCTCCGCTGTTTGAGGCCGACGGCCAAGTTGGGGCGGTGCCGGTGGCCGTGTGTCGGGGTGGCATTTCGAGGCGCAGATGTGACGCCTGGGGCGGGTTTGTGCCGCCGTTCATGTTGCGAGGCCCGATTGCATGTGAATGCGTGCAGGCACCTTGGGCACCTACCTCCCTTCGGGTTGTGCCACCCAGGCGTTCTGTCCGGGCACAACAAAAAATAGCCCGAGTGAGGAAGAATAGTGAGGGAAGAGGGAGAAAGGGGGGCAGGAGGGTGGAAGAGGGATGAAGGAGGAGGGACGAGAAGGGAGGGAGGGTTTGAGAGCCCCTCGCTGCCCTCCTCACCACTTCCCTTCCTCTTCCCCAGGGGGATGGCCGATACCCACGATCTTGGATAGAAGCGTGACGCAGCCGTGCTCGTCCTTGGCAGTCCCTCTGTTTTGTTCCCCCCCCCAACTCCACAACTCCGGAGCAGGCAACCGTAAGCCATGCCAGTCTTAAGCCCAGGGGTGCGGCTTATGGTGCTGGTCGACTGGACCTTGCTCCCCTCGCGCGCACACGACTCGACGGCCGAGCCCATCCCCACGAGATCAGGTCAACGATTTGGGCGACGGCGCTCGACTGTCGAGAGTTAGTCGGGGAGGAACAGGAAGACAAGGAGAAGGAGAAGGAGGGCGACAGAGGATGAAGAGGAGGAGGGGTGACCCCTTCCCTCATCTGAGCGAGGGGGCCGAAGGGTCGCCATCCTTGGGTCCGTGGGTGACGTGGGATTCCGTGGCCCAAATTAGGTTTGCTTGTTGTTCCCCATATCCTATGGATGGGGCTTGTTGTTAATATTTTGGCCGCGCGGAGAGGACACCTCCCATCCTCAGGTCATCATTCTCAGACTCACTCACATGTAGATTCACTCATATTCAGACTCATTCATACTCATATACACTCGCTGTTAGACTATTGTTATTCAGGTTTCTCACGCTCGGGATCACGCATATGCAGACTCACTCACGCTAGTGGTATTTCCGCGCTCAGACTCACACGCACGTTGTGAGGATGTCTCAGGCGAGGCGCTGGTTTCGGTGCCCCCAAGAGGGGGGCGCCAGGGGGCATTGCACTGTTCCGTTCGGGTCCAAATGGCGGGGATGTCTCGAGCGGTTTGCTTGTTTTGATGCCCGAGTTCCTCCGCTTTCGGCCTGTTTGGGTGCTCAACATCCTTCCCTTCCGGAGCATTTTTCGAAAATGTTGCAGGCGAGGCGCTCGTTTCAGTACTCCCATGGGGGGGCGCCAGGGGGTATTGTACGGGCCCGTTGTTCGGTTTCACTGATATTTTTTTGATAGGTGTTCATAGGGAGACCAACAACGGGGCAGTAAACGCCAGCTGCAAAGCCGAGTCCAGCAACGCGAAGACGGGCGCTGGTCTACCAAGCTGCTGGAGTGGACTGAGCAAGTTGCGCAGCTCGCAACGCAGCGTCCGCCAAGCAGCACTGCTGGCAATTTTTCGATGGCCCCTCCTCTCCCTCCCCTGCCCTGCCTCTCTTCCGGCCTCCTGTGTCGTCTTTCTCGCTTTCTCTCGCTCCGTCGTCGTCGTTGTCGTGGTCGTGGTCGTTGTCGTATGTGGCCACGCCGCGTGGGAACACTCAGCGGCCACTCGCGCAGCTCGCAGTGCGGCATTTTCACCACCTTGCCAACGCACAGCGTGGCATCTGTTCTGCCGATTAGCGAGCCCGAGTGCCCTCAAGGAGCACGGGCCCGGGACCACCCGCAGCGCTGCATCCTGTCCTGTCCTGTCATAGGGAATGGAGGAGAAACAGGAGGAGGAGGAGGAGGAGGAGGACGAAAGGAGGAAGCAACTACTTAAAGTCGTCGTAGTCGTCGGCGTCTCTCTCGGCCTCGTTTTCCACGTGGATTCGCTGACACTCGGATTGAACAGGGCAATGTCTTTACCGAAGGTTGCCATCACTATGAGATGCACATATGGGGATCTCCGCGTCGAGTAATTCGTGATTGTTGCCGTCGTCGACCCACCCGCGACCCACTCGCGACCCACCCGCGACCCACCCGCGATTTACCCGCGACCCACCTGCGGCCTACCCCGAGGCCGCCCTCCTCACTCTTAGCCGCAAGTGCGGCATGCTGGGCAGCTATTTTTCTCGAGCAGCGCCCAAGTCGGCACAGTTTTCGCTGCTCGCTTGCGACGCTCCTCGCTGGAGGCCACCCCCAGCGAGGGCAGGGCTCCAGAGGCGATGGCCGCCGTGCCCGGAGCGGCCCGTTGGGCCGACATCGACGACCCCCCGCCCACCGGCGGGGCCTCGTCCTCGGCCGTCCGCGCCCGCTGGGCCGACCTGGCGGAGGAGGACGAGGCGGAGCAGGGGCGCCAGGCGGAGCACGGGGCGGCAGCGCCGCCCGGCGCCGCCGAGGCGGGGCCCAAACCTCGACGCGGCTCGAGTTCGCTTCGGTGTCGAGCCCGGCGGGCCCGAGCTGCTCCGACCCCTGCCCTCCGACGATCCGATGCGGCCCTCCGAAGATACGATGCTACCCGAGTTCGATCCGGTGTCGAGCCCGGCCGGCCCGAGCTGCTTCGGTGTCCCTGCCCTCCGGCGGTGCGGTGCAGCCCCGTGCCTGCACGGGCGCTGGCTGTGCAGCCTGGCGCGGCGGGCCCGGTGTGAGCTCGGCTCCATGCCGATGCGGCCGTCGGCATCATCTGACCGAGCTTCATCCACATTGCTCCACAGCATCTCAGCCCCGCCAGCCTAGCCCCCGAACACAATTTTTTCTTGCGACCGAATCGTATTTTGTTGTTGGGACCGAGCAATTTTGGGGGGCTCGGGCCTCAGCATCATCTGACCGATCTCCATCCCCATTGTTCCACGGCATCTCAGCCCCACCAGCCCAGCCCCCCCCCAGGTGGGTACATAGGTTTCGATGGCTTTGTTATGGAAAGCCTAACGTTCCCACACCAACGATCAATGGACGTCCTGGGGTCTCAGGGTTGGGTTTCTTGTGGAAGGTTGCTTGTGGACTGGCCTCCATTAGACTTGTCCCGCGAAGCCCGAGAAGAGCCGCGCACATGCCGACCTACGGGGGCAGGTCGGCCATCGTATCGGCCAGACGATGCTTGGACGGTGTTCGGTTCATACCTGGTGTCTCTGGCGTCCGTTCGGGACGATTCTGGCACCCGCAGAACCCGGCGAGGCGCATCTGCTGGGGACCATCCCGAGGTTGGAAGACCCCGAAGACCGCGGAGAACCGACGAACGCATCCGAAAACCTCGAACCTCGAAAACCTCCAAGCGTCCGACGCACGCGTCGACTCGGCGCGACTTCTCCGGTCCCGATGCCGGCCGACCCTGCCGAGGCCAGCTGCGCAGCGGCCGCCCGGGACCTCGACGCCGCCAGCGATTGCTCCACCTCCGCCGACGACGGCGCCGAGCCGCTGCGCGAGCGCGACGGGGAGCTGGCCAGCGACGAGGATTGGCGGCGCAATTCGAACCCTACCCTCGAAGATCCACGATACAGGCGGCTCGATGGGCGGCGGGGGTAGGGGTTCGGAATTCGCCGAACACGCCGCGAAATCCGAGCCCTACCCTTGCATCCCATCGATTCAGGACATCGACAGTTGGTGTGGGTAGAGTTCGGATGACGCCACCTTGAGGAGGAGGCGGCGCAGGGGGCCGCGGCGCCGCCGGCCGGCGAAAAGGGCAGGTCTCGGGGCTTCCGCAACGGGGTCGGCGCCAATGGAGGTCAGCCAATCCCCGCCGAGCTCCTCTGGCTGACCCGGGTCTGGGATGCACGTTGAGCCGAGCGACGTGGCCCTGGCTGACCCAGGTTCCCAGGTTAGCGCTGACCCGGGTCCGTGTCTCCCTGGCAGGTCTTGAAGAGCAACAGACAGCGGTACATTCATAGATTCGAAGGCCCGCGCGGATTTCTCGGATCGAACCTTCGAAAGTTTTTGTCGCGAGCTTAGAAAAGCGCCCAACCCCGAAAGCGCGAGCGCCAGGACAACGCGCAGGTTCCTTGTGGTTTCGAGGCAGAGGAGTTCGCGATACGGCTTTGCCATGGGAGCAACGACGAACGCAAACCATTCTTCATAATTGTTGGCCGATGCTCGAGTCATTGGTCAATCTGCGAAGCTTGAATCGGGGGGGTGTTTTCTCATACGGTCAGGAACGTTGCCTTAGATTGTCGCTCCGCCGGTTCTGGTGCACCACACTCTGACGCGACACGCTATGTAATCACGCCCTTTCTCGAAAGCGGCAACGTCCCGAGCCGTTCAGAGCCTCCCACCCCGTGATGCAGAGCGACACGCCATCCACTTGCAAGGCACAGCGTGTCGCCAGTGTCGCCGCCGTGACACGCCGTGACACACGTTCCTGATCGTAGTCATTATTTTTACGGTCGGGGCGTTGGGAAGGAATGTGCCGAGGATGCCTCAGACTCTTGAGGATTTCTGATCCTTCTCTGATCAGGGCGGCGATGATACCCGTGTCCACGACTGGAGTTCCACTGGCTTCAGACTTGGAATCCCTAATCTAATTTTTTCTTACCCAATGCCCTCGCCGTAGTCATTATGTTCCCTGAGATCCGACGGCGCGAAACAATTGAAACATCGTAGGATATGACGACAGGAGTGGTCGACCCTATCTTTCTGCCCCATTTTTCGAGCTGGATCGATCTACGTATCACCCCGCAGTCGCGGATGAGTGATGGAGAGGCGGGGACGTTTGCAGTCTCCAAGGCTCTGAAGAAGCCCGCCGCAGGCGCGTAATTTTATACAACGAGCCCGCCGCAGGCGCCGATTTCTCGTTAAAGCGATGTGGGTGGGTCGCGGGGTGGGTCGCGTGGTGGGTCGCGGGTGGGTCGAGCGTGGGTCGCGGGTGGGTCGCTGGTGGGTCGCGGGTGGGTCGCGTGGTGGGTCGCGGGGGTGGGTCGCGGGGGTGGGTCGCGGACGGGTCGCGGGTGGGTCGCGGACGGGTCGCGGGCCGGGTCGCGGGGGGGACGTTGCCAAACAACAACACACAAGCAAACAAACAAGCAAGCAAACAAACAAACAAGCAAACAAACCAACAAACAAACAAACAAGCACACAGACAAGCAACAACACATACCAAACAACCAGCAACAATCAACAAACAACAAACCACACACTAGAATCAAACAAACAAACAAATAATCCCAGTGCGACCCTACCTAGGAGTTGGAGGATCTAGGAAAGCAACATCTATGTCTAAACCGAACGCTACATCAACATCTACACCTGCATCTACATCCTGCTATGCTGCGCTATGCTGTGCTATGCTATGCTGCGCTATGCTGTGCTGCACTGTGCTGTGCTACGCTCTGCTATGCTATGCTGTGCTCTGCTATGCTAAAGCTCGGCGAAGCTAAGATGAAGGTAAGCTAAGCTAAGATAAACCTGAGCTGAGATGAAGCTAAGCTAAGCTAAGATGACATAAGCTAAGCTAAGATGAGATAAGCAACGCTAAGCTAAGGGAACGTCACTGGGGGAACCGCGGGGCGGATCCTGGGGGAACCGCCCGGGGCGGGGTGCACTGCCCGGCCCTTCAAGCATACAGGGTAAGAACCCTTCTAGGCAGAGCCTAGGTAGGGAACAACCAACCACACGAACAACAAACACAACAACAACAGCAACAGCAACAACAGCAACAGGATCACCAACATCAACAAGACCACCAACATCAATCATAACAACACCAACAACAACACTAACACTAACACTAACACGAAACCTTGTTTTGTTTCATGCCGCGCCGCTGCCCTGGTTCTTGTTTTTAACATCCTAGTTCTGTTATCTGCCCCGCTTCGGGGCTGCGATCTCTACGCGACAACCTAGAATGTTAAACTCCTTGTTGTTTTAAATCTTGTTTTTTCTAAGTCCCTGTAACAATAACGACACCGGCAGCGACAACGATAACGACAACAAGCACACAAACAAATAAGCAAACAAACAACCAACCAACAAGACGACCAACAATCACACCAAGAAGAAGCGGCTTCGCGGACCCCCACTTCAGCCACGCACCCAGGGACAGTGAATGACCGTTCGGCCCCCTCACTCTGATGAGGAGGCCCCAGGGCCCTTAAACGGGCGGAAACGCTGCCGCCAGAATCTGAGGGTGGCCATCAAATAGCCTTCGGCCCATCTCGCCACTGTGCTGGGGTTGTGGGTCTGAGGCCTCCTGGATGGTCGTCGGGATCTCGTCGAGGCCTCTCGGGGGCCTCCTGGAGGCACGCTGGAGGCCTCTGGGGGGCTGTTTTTTGGAGGTGCCCCGTCCGTGGGTCGAAGGAGCCATAAACATAAACTTTTGGCGCTCCGCGAGGATTTCTTGGATCCGCGCTGGGCCCCCCAGGCGGCGCCTCCGGCCCCGCCCCTGGCGCGCTCCGCGCGCCAGGGAGGGGGGTTTCCGCGCGGAGCGCCAAAAGTTTATGTTTATGGCGTTTTCTTCTACTCTTTTGGGCGCCTCGTGGGGGCCTCTGAGGTCCGCAGGGCGCCCCACGGCCCGGGCGGCCGGGCGGGCCGAGTGGGGCGCGGCGCTGCGGCAGCACCGGGGCGGCCGGGTGGGCAGCGGCCCCTCGCGGGGCGGCCCGTGGAACTCGTGGCAGGGCAAGGATCGGCACGAAGAAAATATCCAAGCAGTGGCCTATAGCCTATAGGCCCACGAAAGAAGGTTCTAATAATCTTCTGCTGTCTGGAACACATGTTCTTAGAACATTTCTGGTTGAGACCGTCTTTTGGTTTAACACATCGGGTTCACTTTCTAAGAGCATTGTGTTATTCGAACATTTCGAGGGTCTGGTAGGCGTATAGGAATGCAGGGACGGTCGGTCGGCACGAAGAGAGAATGCCTGGAGGAGGAATTTATACTTAGACCTCGAAGAAGAAAAAAGGCCATAAACATACACAATGGGCGCTCCGCGAGGATTTCTTGGATCCGCGCGGGGACCCCCCCCCCCATGCGGCGCCTCCGGCGCCGCCTCTGGCACGCTCCGCGCGCCAGGGAGGGGGGTTCAGCGCAGATCCAATAAACCCGCGCGGAGTGCCACAAGTTTATGTTCATGACGTTATTTTTTTATACTACCAAAACCTTTGCCTTGATTTCGTCTTTATGGGCCTCCTGGGAGGCCCTCGTCGCCACCGTTGGATTTGCCTCGAAATTCTAGCCGGAAGAGGTTCGGGGCGTCGCGGGATCGGCACGAACGATCATATCGGCCACGTGCAGAGAGGGTACGGTCGAGATTGATTATTACGTCGATCTTGCCAAATCAAGGGTACCCTTGTGTCCTGTGTTTCGCGATCCATGCCCTCTACATTCTTATGCCAATGTGGTCCTCGGAAGGGTCTTGTATCCTTTCGCGTGTCCTCTCCGAACACATTCGATTGTAGGGGTAGGGGGGAAGGCTTCTCAGACGGAGGCTGCCACTTCGAAGGCGCGGGCCTTGTCTGTAGATGTAGGGCCAGCGCCTTCTAAGGAGCCGCCTCCTTCTAAGAAGCCCTCTTCCCTCCCGCTACCACCTTGTGCGCGCCACCAACCATGCCACCTCGTGTCAGGAAAATGGCACGGTGGACTGTTCTTCGTTGTTTTCGGCTCCTTTCGGGTCCTCACAGGGCCTCGGGACCGTCAAGTAACGACTCGGGATGGAAAACCAGTCCTGGGGAATGGGTCGAGACCTGTGGGGGTTGACGCTGCGAAAAACAGAGGTATAGTTCACGGAAAGAACGGTTACGATGACCGACAGCATTGCCTGTCCATTTGTGACAAAATTCGTTGTGGGCGTCGCCGCGGGCAGTGCCCATTTGAGACAGAAGGCCGCCTGCCCAGCAGCGGCACGCTGTTGTCGGGCCAGACGACAAGGTAGGAAAGGGAAAGGGTGTTGCGAACTCTGCTGCACGCAGCTGGTTTCCGCCCCGCCACCGCCGCTGGGCGCCTCCCGGCGGGCGCCAGGAGACGTAAGGAAAACCAGCTACGCGAGCTGTTTCTCTACCCTACCCATTGCCATCCTACCCTGTCGTCCCCGCGATGTTGGGCATCGTATACCCAATTTTTCAGTACCCATTCCGGGCGTTCATAATAGGAGGGCTTGTGAGGAGCGCCGAGCGCGCAACCCATACATGCTCGCGTCGTGAGAAGCTGACGACGGAAGGGTTCTGGCCGTTTCTGGCTTCTGCGGGGCCCTCGCCGGGCCCCGGGACCGTCAAACAACGACTCAGATGAAACATTGGCCGTGGAAGAGGTCGGCCACTCGCAGAGGAGGGTAGGGGGGTAGGGGGGGGCTTCTTAGACGGAGGCTGGTTCTTAGAAGGCGTGGGCCCTGTCTACCCAGATGCAGGGCCGGCGCCGTCGAAGGGGCAGCCTCCGTACACGAAGCCTTCCCCCCTTCCCCCTACCCCTTTGTGCGCGGCCAAGGAAGGGAGTCCAGACCTCCAGGGACCCTGCATTGTGGGAGGCGTACAGGTTGACACCAACACCAATGTCGGCGGTGTGTTTCCACCAAGGTGAGGTGATCGCGATCTCGGCGATAGTGGTAATATTCGGGCTTTCTAGGTAGCCGAAAGATTATCACCAGCACCAAAATCTAGGATCGTCTTCCTCCCGGGCAGGCAACCTCTGGTGTTGGTGTTGGTGCCCATTTCGAAGCTTCCAGCATTGAAGCCATCAAGAACCAAGACGTCGGATGCTTGGGGCGCGAGGCCCTTTCCTAGCAGGGCGCGAGGGGGAGGGGGCCTCTTTTGGGAAGCTCGGGGGCCCCCGTGCGGTGCGGAGGCCACGCCGCCTCCGGCCACGCGCAGCAGGCTGCTTAGAATTATGAAAGGCAGTTCCTGCTACAGGCAAGAGAAAGCGAAAACAGGCAAAGTAGCAACATGGATAGGGAATAGGGTACCTTCCAAAGTACCACCCACCCCAAACAAGTAGCTACCAAACTACCCACCAAAGTACCACCCCCGAAAAAAGTAGGCGCAAAACTACCCCCCCCCCGTTTGAACAGATAGTCGCCGACGTCGGCGCGCTATAGCTGCCAGAGTTGGGAATCTTGCAAGCCGAAGCTGCTTGAAGGAATTCCTGTTACAACCTGGGCGGGGCAATTGGCGGCGATACCCTTGGCGATTGCACTACCTCGGGCAAGCGGGCAGGCGGGCCCTAACGGGCGAGCCGCACGAGCGTGGCGTCATAACAGGCGGATCACCTCTCGAACAACTGAGCGGGTGGACCCACGCGGGCAGGCTGGGCGGTTCGGGCGGGCGGGCGGGCCGCGGCAGGGAGGTCACGCGGGCGGGCGAGGCGCAAGCCAATTCGAATATGCAACCTTATCATGGCCATTGTCGGTCGGCTGCTTATCGACGTGGCGCGGGCTCTCACTACAATGAAGGGGCGGCGCGGACGCGCGAGAGAATTGCGCCCCTCCGATGCAACGACTCGGCTTTAACAACAGTGTTTGCCGCAACCTAACAACACGCCGATCAGATGGCCACAAGATCGCCGCGCGAGGCTCCGAGAGGTCCCGAGACACCCCTAATAATACTTGAAGTGCGTCTTTAATGAGCCCCAGGGGCACTCCTGGGGGGAGCACAAGGGAACCACCTATTGCATCAGAGGGGCTCGCAAGCCAACGCCCCCACCCCATGACCAACCGCTGACCTACAGGACCATGGAAAGCAACGCCCTCGCAGCCCCAAGATGACCCCTAGACAGCCCAATCATGGCGTCCGATGCCACTGCCATGGTCCATGAGGACCACAATTCTCTCCAAGTAGCCCCCAGTGAGGCCCCCCCTAAAGAGGCATGCAAAGTCACGGTCGCCAGGTCGTGGATTCGCACTGGGCCCAACGCCACCGATGTCAGAGGCGGTCGGTTCAGGAAGGGCTGGCAGATATATGCGAAGCGTCACTCGTAGCAACAATGCCATGTTGTATGAATCATCCTTCTCCTCCTCCTCCTCCTCCTCCTCCTCCCCCCCCCCTCCACATCCTCCTCCTCGTTCTTCTCCCCCTCATTTTCCTTCTCTTCCTACTCGGGCACGGGGCGAAACATCATTCGGGCATCTGCGAAATCATTGGCGAGAGCGCCACACGAGGATGGCACGGAGGAGGCTGAGGGCAACAAGGTGGGAATGAGAACGGGGCGGATTGGCATGGATACGCGGAGGAGGAGGTGGCATGTTGCTGCGCGCAAGCGCTGGCGAGAAAGCCTCGCGGGCGCTGATCCCAGCGCTGTAGCTGGCGACGTCGCGCCGTCGCACCGCCAGCTGAACTCCTCCTAGGTGCTGCCCTTGAGCGACGCCAGCTTCGCGGCCCACTCCACGTCCTGGCGCATGGCGCTGACGGCGTCGGCCTCCGCCGCCTCCTTGCGGTACGCGTTCACCATGCGGCGCATCTTCGGCGCCTGGCCAGCGCACGTCTTGAACGCGTGCACCACCAGCGCCGTGAACTTAGTGGCGCTCGCCACTCTCATCGTGTCGACCGCCTCCTTGGTCGCATCCTCGTCCTGCTGCACCTCGAAGACCTGCGCCCACCCCACGGCGCGCTTCTTCGCGTCGAGGACAGCGTCGATCCGCTTCTGGAAGGAGCCCCCGTCGATCTGCAAGATCGTCTCCTCCACGCGCTTCAGAACCGAGTCCATGCCCGCGTCCGCAGCCAGGTCCTGGTCCCAAGGCTGGTCGAACGCCTCCGTGCCCGTCGCGAACGGCTTCAACGCCGCCGTCGCAGCCTTCATGGCATCGGTCACGATCGCCATGCACACATTGGCCGCTGAGTTCATCTCTTCGGTCGCCGCCGTCACGTCCGACTGCGCCCCGATCACCTCTGCCACCAAGCCAGTGGACTGCATCGCCTTGACAGAAGAACGGATGCTCGTCACCAGGTTCGCCGACCCATCCTTGATCAGCCGCACCGCGTCGTCGTTACCAGACTGTGCCCACTGAGCGCGCTGCTGCGAGAGGGAGCCCCAAGCCTTGAGCATGGTAATCACCTTGTCGAGCTTCACCGCCGATTCGCCAGCCAACCAATTTGTCTCCGTAAGCGTCATCAATATGTGCAGGTGCGGTGCGGCCTCCGTCGGGGCACGGACATACTGGCAGATCACCGAGTAGATCTTTCCGAAGATGGTGGCAGCGCTATCCTTGTGGACCTCCACGCCCCTGCCGCCAGCGGCCAGCACGGACTCGATCACTGGGAGCACCTCCTTGAGCCTATCGAGGTTCATCAAGATCTCGTCGTCGAGGGACTCCGCGAGCTGCGCCAAGCCCTTGTTGGCGTTGAACTGGTTGATCTCGGACTCCTTCTCTTTGATCTTATCCATTGCCGTCGCCCACAATGAACCCTTCTCTGAGATGCTGGTCTTAGCGATGGTGACCAGTGCCTTCGCATCGGCCAGCATGGAAGTCTGCACGGAACCATCTGCCTCGGCGAGGGCACCGCAAAATAAGTAACTGTTAATGTATTCGTCCAACTTCGCGCTCACCTGTTCCTTGAAGTTGCCGAAGCTGCCTGGCCGACAGTACGTCACGACGTTCGGCAACAGCTCGAGCGCTGCCTTCAGAGTCCCCGACCGCTCTACCTCTCTGATGTCCGTCGCCGCGTCCATGGCCGCCATCAGCTGGACCATCTGCGGGAAAAGCT